GGTTACGCGAGCCTCGATGGAGCGCGGATGAGGTTGGATGACCTCCGTGCGCAAAACATGGGTTGCTGTATGATTTTTTTTTGTTAATCCGAGGCTGCGTTGTGGGCAGAAAAAAAATGCAGTACAGCAACACGGATTGCTGCACTGAGCTTCTGTCTTCGCACGTGGTTGGATCAATTGCACTGTATTGGCTTTCTCGTTTCGTCCTGTTACATTAATAACATTGGCCTTAAAGACACTTTTTCGTAGTAAAAAAAAAATCTGGATTTTTCTACGCACTGCTTTTGTTTACATACATAAGACTTGTGAAACTCTCTTGACTTGCCAGATGTTATTGGTATGAGCACTCCATCCAAGCACGGGGCCCTGTTCGTACAATATTGCATTGCATTTTGCTCGCACGCAGAGGAGCACATTTAATATTGATGGAGTGAGAGAGGCACTCGCGAACGCTTCATCTCAGCTAGATACGGGGCTGCACGTGTGACCACCAATTTAACATGTAACGCCCTTTAATTGGTAAAATTATCAAAGGACCAAAGAGCTCAGTCGGAGCGAGACAACAGGACAATTCATCGGAGTGTGTGTACCTAGGCTGGTTATGGCTCGGTGCATGTTTTAAAAAGGAATAATAGTTTCAATTGATAATGCGCCATTAAACAATCGTTCTCAGGGCCTTGCTTTCATCCAGCAGTGGATGGAGCACGGCTGAAAATGCTGATAATGACGATGTTACGATGGGGGTAAAGAACGATTCTCTACAAATACGACAGTCGCGTAAAAGGAAAAAAATTATAATACAAAATCACGAGACTGGCAGCGTGTGTCAAAAGACAGCCCCCTTCTCAAGGCTGTCACTCAAACGTCTTTAGTGAAAACACACGCAAGTATGCTCGGTCTTCTCCTGAAGCCAAACATTTGCTATCGCCGATGCACTGTGAGCGCATACACACTCAAACATGACGGCGTCTGACAGTGCGGCTTCCCCCACCCCACCCCCGATGTCAGTGGCAGCGGAGTAAATCTGCCAGTGACTCGGAGTGACTCGCAGAGGCAGCCGTCGGAATGTGGCTGTAATTTGACAGAGTGGAGGTGGAATTGAGAAATCGCATTTGCGAAGACAAGCTAAAAACTACACATTTTTGCAAGTTATTTCTGACCGAGTGGCTGCCATGTGATTGGACGAATGCTGCCAATTTGCCGCAAATCTGTGCCATGTCCTCGCAGGACCCGGTGTGGGGGGGGGGCGGTGTGAGGACGGAGCGGGGGGAGAGGATACTGAAATATTAACCATCGTGTTGCTGTCATGCTTTGGTGAGAGCAAAAAAAAAGTAAATAATTATCTACTCCACCTCTCCTCCTGCCCCCCCCCCCTCCAACAAGCCAACCAAATGTTTATTATGCAACCAGCCCCGGCACGAGGGTCTGAATCTCCAGTTCTCTTGCAGGAGGTGCTCTTGAAGTTAAAGTTGCAATCGCGTGGGTGTGTTATTTTCGTGTCCGAGAGCCTAATCTCGGAGGGCGGTAATGCACGAGGCAGCAAAGCAGGCCTGACAACTTCGCGACCGTCTCTTGTTAAAGAGCTGCCCCCCAAACTTGATTTGGCGCTTTCGTTACTGCAGGAATTACTCTATGGTTTTGCGGGTAAAGTCACGTAGAAATAAGAAATAATAATAACATTACATAATAGCATACGACGTTTCGATTGCAACGCAAGCAATCATCATCAGGTATAGAAGAGCTACATTTAAGAGAGAGAGGAAACACAGAACCGCAGATATATATACAGACACCTAAGAAGAGGGCGTTAACACAGACACAAAGAGACACAACGTATGGAGCACAGAGAGACAGGGTCTCTGTGCCGAGGCCTTAGCATGTAGGGGAGACAAAGAGAGATGGAAAAGCACATCAAATCGAACAAGATGATGATTGCTTGCGTTGCAATCGAAACGTCGTATGCTAATATGTAATGTTATTATTATTTATTATTTCTACGTGACTTTACCGAAAAAAAACAAAGTGTAGCTGCCCCCCACCCCACTCCTGACCTCCAACGGCATATGGAGTCCCAACTATAAGAGCCTTTGCTTCTCAGGGCTGCATTTGTATTGCAAATTGACGGTGCACCGCATTGCGGGTAGGAATGCTGTCGTTGGTTTGCAATGGTTGGCAACGCCGACCATTGCAAACCAATGTCGCGGCAGTCGGAAGAAAAGAAGTGGACAAGTTCTTCTGAGACCCCCCCCCCCCCGCCGCGGTTCACGCAGTCCAACCACTGTGGAAGAGTCGGGGTTCTCTCTCTCTCCATCAGACGCTCTCTTTTGTCAATGTCCTTCGATCAGCAGCGGCGTGAACACGCAATTGCAGTGCTGCACCTTAACCTCACCTGCTTCATTTCGGTAGGTGTGAATGCCTATTGTTAATCATCTGCTGGATGAGGGCCTACTCAAAAGCCTGCGCCGGTCGTGGGTTCAATCCGGACCCTGACGCCCGCTGTATATTTGGAGTTTGCGGTGTCTGTCTCCCCCTGGACGCGTGGTTTTTCCCTCCGGGCCCTCCGGTTTTTTTCTCAACATTTAGAAACACGCGTTTAAAGTATTTGGCTGCTATAAATTTCGACGTTATGAGAAGCCACTGCGTTCAGTTAACATATGTAGCCAGGTCGCTTCTGAAAAAGAGCTATACAGCTCAGTGGGCCATACCTGATAACATAAAATAGTTTAGTTGTAAATATTATGAGATCAGGAATGCTACAGATGGTTTGGTCACAGGCTGTATGTATATGGTTCATTTCTTATATACGCTGATGCACGTTTTTTGACAATATATATATATTTTCCTTCAACATAACAACAGCCATTACGACACCAGTGCCAAGCTAGGTGCACAACAACATCACTGTCAGGTTATAGGCCCCAGTGAAGAACCACTGACAGGAGAGTCATGGGGCAAGCCAAATGCTATGGGGTCTACAGACTGGAGTGACTGGCAGTATGGGTGCATTGCAGGGTCGGCATGCCCCCCCACCCCCCTCCCCCGTCCTAATTCCACCCACCCTCTTCGTTGCCTGACATCTAAGTACCACCCCTCCGTCCCCTGGACCCCGGTGCAGTCGCACCGCCTGCACACTCGGTAGCCTGTGCACTCTGCTGGCAAATGCATGCCACCTCGCTGTGTGTATCCGTGACGTTGATGGAGGCGGGATTACAGGGCCCATGAAGATGCAGAGTGGCCTTGGCATCTGCCCCCTGTTCTGTCCGTGCCCTTGTGCACCCGCAATGCCCAATTAACGCTGAGCGCAAAAGTCCAGCGCATGAATCTAGCGGCTGTTTTGCATCGGTTTACGAAGCTTAATTGGGGAGGCCAGCTGGTGGCTGGACCTGAGCTGCGTAGCCTCGCTGTTATTTTCACCTACAGTGTGCCTTAATTTGACATCAACACAGCCATTTCGGCATTTCAAACCAATTTCACCAAAGTGGGCCCCATTGCTACCTGGAAAAAACAATACACATTGCGATTGCAAAACGAAAGAATACGATGTGGATTTAAAGGCGTCCTAAATGCCGGTGCATCTTGAGAACGCGGGATGGGAAACTGTGGGCAGATTTATTGTACGTCGAGAGTTGGTGAGACGTAGCCAGAGGGGACAACACAAGGACGGCGTTGAGCCTGGATTTGAAGGGGGGGGGGGAAGTCGACAGCACGGATGATAGGGGGGAAGGCCTTTGCGGACATAGGGGGCAGCATAGTAGAATGAGTGACCTGTCACTGAACTTACGTTGACAGAGGGGGTTTGGAGGGGCCTTCAACCGCAAGCCTTCAATGTGTACTGCTGGCCTTAAGTTGATGGATTAAAGACAATGTTTTTCATTCGTTAATTCGTTAACGTTAACCGCAACCTCACGTTTCTCTGGCAAGAGAGGCCAATGTAAGGAGAGCGCCAGGCACTGTGGCTCCCTCTCACGACAATACCGCTCTATCCTCTTCATACGACCAACAACAGAAACACCACCCACTGACAATGCCATTTCCCAAATCCTAGTGATTTTCTCAGCTTGGGAGCCACCGGTAAGTAAAGGTCTCGCATTTTTCACTTTTGTACAAAGGTCATCGTGGTGGTGGGGGTGGGGGTGGAGCAGTGGGAGGAATCCCACGGGACTTCTTCCTCCCATCAGTGGCCGAGCTGTAGCGCGGTGCCTGCTTGTTACGTAGCTTTGTGGTTTGTGCCCAGCGGCCTGTCTGGTAAATACTGCGGGTGTATTAAGCCGTAAAAAAGAAGAAATTCGTCTGTTTCACGGTGGATGTTGTAGATCCTGTGACGCTATTCAGAATCAGAATATTTATACTGGAGGAATTCGATGAGCTATGAAACTCTTTTCACAGATGTCCAGTATTCAAACAACAGTAGGCCATGTGGGCCAGTGTCGCAAGTTCAAGCTTGCCAATTTTATTTTATAAAATACCCACAAATTACCTAATAGCGTAAATCCGCATAGCAACATCATCCCATGCTGGCAGACTCTACTCGTCCGTGCTATGAAATGGTAGGGGGTGATGCAGTAGTTTTATCAGTAGGGGGGCTATGTTGCTATACATAATCCCAATTGACTAACATACGGACAATCTTTTTTTAAATGTTGGCAAATTAGGGACGCAATGGCCTACCAGTTTAAGAATGACGTCGCTGCAATCTTTACTGTGAATCCGACGGCGAGTGGCAATTTACGGTTAACAAACACCACAGTATTAACCCATGGCGGACCTGGCAAATTCGACCCCCTGAACCTATGTTGTCCTTCCTCCCGCTCAACCCATTAGCACGGTTGGCTACGTACGGTGCGAAAGAAGTCCAACATACGCAACGTACATACAAGCGGGCGGATGGGCTATACCGCTGGGCCGTATCACCGCCCAAAGACGCAGAGAGGTGCTCGCGATTTGATTTGATCTCGGAGTCGCCTCCTACCAGCTGCCCCTTTCGGCTGGCAGGCGCTCACCTCTCACGGTAAGCACGATGGGCGGGCCCGTCTTGGTCTCGCCGTTCCGCTCGTTCATCACCTGCGCGTGGTACGTGCCGGCGTCACCCGAGGCGGCCATCATCACCACCAGCTGGTTCTCGAGCGTGACCACCCTGCGCGTCGAGAGAGGAGGAAGGGAGGAGGTGGATGAGGAGCAGGTGAGTGCTGATTTTTGTCAAATAAAATCATTATTTCGTGATGCTGCTGCTGTCTTGGCAGTGGTGCACACACATAATTAATAGCACAAAAAAATCAACACATTCATCAGTAACACTGTGTGGCTTTCAAATAAAGATATAATGGGCGATGTATCAGACAATGACCCTTCTTTAAAGTGGATAATAAGAGTTGGCAATGGCACTGTACACTACGGGGCCTGATGAGAATAACAAAATCATTCAATAATAAACAAACCCATTTTAAATATAAAGGGTGGTTCTGATACCCAATGGCTACTGTTAGCTAACTAATCATTAGCCAATTTAAAACTGGTCATCAGAAAACATTTAAACAAGTGTCATTCTCATCAAGCCCCATGGTGTAAAGTGCTGTCCCCAATTCTTATTTTCCACTCCATCTCTCTGGCCTCTCTAGAAGGACGGCTGAACCGACACGTCAAACATTATATATGTTGCTCAAATAAAGTTGTTTGCAAACGTACATTGTCGGGCATGGTCTATCCACTGCTGGATGAAGGCCTTCCTCACGGTATTGCGACGCAACAATCCATCCAGCCCCTGCACTTGAGCTGATGTCGTCCCTCCCTCTGTGTCGTGGCGTCCTCTAAGGCAAGTGCCCTACCCTGGCATGGTCACTCCATCTTGAGTGTCGACCAGCAGCCATCAGCCCTTCAAGGTGATGTGTCCTACCAAGGTCGAGTACCATGTTTCAGACTTGAGGCACGTTCTCTCATCCACGTCTTTCTCTTTCTGTCTCTCATCTTCCCGACTCAGGCTCCTTTCTCTGTGGAGTGTGTTTGTCCTTCATCCTGTTCTGCGTGAGTTTCCTCCTGATTGTCCGGTTTTTTTCTTCCCCAATACTGAAAATTTGCTGCAAATGAATTAATTTGGACTACATTCAGCAACATCACCCCCCTCCCACTGCCAAAACTTGACAGGACCCTTCTTAAAAAAAAAGGTCTTGAGACTCTATGAGGCCTTCCTGGGTAAACAAGTGGCATAAAAAAATAAAGATGTCTTGACGACAATGATTCTAGCTACTAATCAAAATGAGTTACAGGAAATGAATGAAGGCTGCAGAGTCGGCATAAGAATGTATACGGGTACAATTGTTAAATCAATGTCAACCTTAATGAGAGGTACACAGCTGGAAACCACACGAGAGTTGCGTGTATAGCTAATAATAAGCAACATACCATCGTGCCTGGAGCTGAACGTTTGCAATCGTTATGTATCGCTTATTCTAGACACGTTAATTGGAACCGTGGGCACACCAACGGAGCAAATAGAGTAACATCTGAACACCTACACATTATGGATGGACACATATAAATCAGACCCTTTCCAAACACGTATGTGCCTGGTGAACAGGATGACATTTATACGTATATGTTTATATATATGCATTCGCGATCCTTCGACAACAAAAAACAATCCCAAATCCTGAGACATATTTTGACAGATAAGGATACATGTTTGGGTCATCCTATTCTGGAGCGCCTTATTTTTTTTAAGGAAGGTGGTCCTATTCAAAATAAGGACCGCCCTATTATAATATTTCGGAGAATAGCTTGTAGGTGGAAGTAAGCCACGAGGGCCGAATTCTATTCAATGACGGGCAATTATCATGAGGATTCTAAGTTTGAAAATGAGGCCAAACTTCACAGGACACGACGCGAGTGTCGCCGAGCAAGGCGAAGCGTGTGTGGTTTGCAAAGCGGCGAATCGCTCAACATGTGCGAATACATTTCGACTCAAATTAAGCCGAAACATTTCTCCAACCTCGAAATAAAATCGCCGTGAACGCTACCCGCGCCGACTGCCTCTTCCCCCTGCCGTACACCCTAATCGGCAGCAAGCGATGCAAAAGCCCCTCCCGTTTGAGGGTCCCTTCACTCGGCGTGACACCGAAACAGACGTTCATTACGAACGACAAAATTAAATAATTTACAGTTCACATCACGATCACTTAATTCACGCTCTCCCCTTCTGCGTGAGACGCTTCCGTGCGTCGTGGCGGCTGGGCGATCGGCCCGTTGCTCCATTGCCCGGCCTCGCGACTTCGCGTGCTTTTTTCGCTGGAGGGCATTAATAGCGGCGCGCGGGGGGGGGGTAGGATTATGTGTGGCCATCGTCTGCAAGCTGTCGTCGATTTTGCCGAGGAGTAGACCCTCGGGGTGTACGCAAAGGGGCACGCGGCCAATTGCAAGGCCGGCTCAGGCGATCGCACAGCTCAGAGCAGCGATGGAAAAAAAAAAACCTAACTGATGGCGCGCATCGCTCTTCCTTCTGCTCGAGTGCGAATTTAGGTTCAAAATTGTAAAGGTGCAGCTGAGCTGTGCGGCAGTAGCAGCAGTAGCAGCAGTAGCAGCAGTAGCAGCAGTAGCAGCAGTAGCATCTTCAATCGCTGCCTTCCTCTGACAATCATCAATGAACCCACCGTCCACCGGTACGCATTATCGCCCAAAACTGGGAGAGAAAAACAAAGGGCGAACTTTGGTCGCCTGTACATCCTGGAGCCAGGAGTCGCCGTGCCTCGGGACCCTGTGCTGTAACAGCACCAGCAACAAGGGACGGAGATGGAGGCATGGCAAAACGTTTGTTACCCATCTAAACTCGGAGCACGGAGGGACCCGCTACAGACACTGAAGTGCCTGCCTCAACAGGGCCCAGGTCGATCAATGCATTACGTTGTTCACTCTGCCAAACAAGGGCGGGGGGGGGGGGGTGGGGGGGCGGTGCGTCGACGCAACACGCATGAATGAATAAATGAATGAAGGTACAAATCGCGCTGGGCCGGCCCTTCCGCTCCGAGTGGCCCCTTTCGCCGGCGAGCGGCGACCACGTGGAGGTGGCGCAGTGCGTGAGGAGCGGTTCTGACGAGCCAGCCGCTACCTTCTCCTCCTCGCGTCCCCAGCGGGGGTTTGCTTGACCCGGTCGCGAAAAGCTATCGAGGAAAATCCGGCTCAATTCACACGATGACACCGCAAAATGCCTCGAAACGACGGGGGTGGGGCGCGGGTGGGCGGTGGGAATAAGCACTTTGGCCATCGTCCAAAGCGATTTCAGCAAGACGGTGAATATTTAATAGCTGGACAAAAGTCACTCTGTACACATTTTACCAAACGCATTATTACATATATTTTTTTTCTTCTTCTTCTATTTTTATCGCCCCCTCCCTTCCTTTTCTTGTTTAAAAATTTATTGGGCCTAGTGTGGAGAGTACGCAATAAAAGTTTGATTTCCGAGAGTCACGTGTGTGCGCCCACTCTTTCGGAGGGCTGCCAAAACCGCGCATTGTCAAACCGCGTGCATTTTTAAAAGCGTTGAAAGGTGGGGGGGGGGGGGGCAAGCTCCGTGGGCCCCCCGCAAGAGGGAAACATCGACGTCGCGAGGGACAGAGAGGGAGAGAGAGGGAGGGAGGAGGTACACGTGCAAACAACATGGCTATGCTCTCACCCATCATCATCATCACGTGCTTCACATCGAGCGCGGTGTGTTGTTACCAGCGTGGGAACAAGTAGATTGGGTGTAAAGCCCCCTGCTTGGCGTTCGTCTGAAGCTGACGTGACAGCTGCGCGGCTGCGTCTACGCTGGAACCGCACCGTGCAACCGAGCTCTTAAAGACAGATCTGTGCGTGAGCAGGCACAGCGAGGGCCCAATGCCGTGTGAAAATAACTCGTGTCTCGGTGTTCATTGTTATAGATGGGTCTCACCGGGACGGTGACCTGGAAAATAGTTCTGCACCGGAACACCACATCCAGTATTCCTCTCGCCGTGGTCTGTAGCTTCTTCTGGTCACGTGCCACTTCAGTCCAACAGATACCCGGACAATATGTGTACACACGGTACACCACATTCAATATACATCTCGCTTTGGCTGCGGATACTGTGACCCAGAAAATATTCAGAGATTATTTTATCCTCACTCAATGCCCCAAAACGTCAACAGAACGTGTCGAACTAGGGAGGCCTTCATGAGGCAGTGAATTGGTTGACGATGATGATGATGGTGAAAGCGGTCAGTCTAGCCCCCACTAAGGGAACGGGGAATTTCCACGACCCGCTCTGGGCAGCCAATGAAAATGAGTACGGTGCCATTGATCTCTGGGGCAGTGAGACCCACGTGTTCCCTTGCTGTCAAACGTGTGTATGGTGCAGTTCAGTACCTTGGACAGCTACACGGTGTGGAGTGAGCGTGAAGCGGCCGCTTCAGTACTTGCGACCAGAGGTGGGTGGTGGGCTATGCACGAGCAAACTAAGCAAAGTCTGAGCGCCCCATGTAGCTCAAGGTGCAACACAGATTCGTGAAAAACGTGTGTGAACCAAAGGTCAACTCAAATTAAAAGCCATATAAATGTGAAATATCGAAAATCAAGACCAACTGAATCTCATCTCTACCTTGTCTACAACTCTGTACCCTCAACTCACTACATCTCTGTCTCGTGCCTACATCTCTCTGATTTAACTGAATTTCTATTTCATCTATACTTCTCTTTTCTCTCATCTAGTGCCCATATTTCTCTCATCTCGCCACATCACTACCCCCTGTCTAAATCTCTTCTGTCATCCTATATAATTTATGCTTGGGGCCCCCAATGGACCAGCAAGAACCCCCTCTTGCCTTGAGTCTGCTCAGTAAATTCCTCTGGTGGCTTGGCCATAGAGCTCGGCCTCTGTCTGTACGTCTGCGCAAAGTGAACGAATCTAAAGGCCCAGCGATATCTCCAATTCCGGCGACTTAGCCTCTTCCACTGCGCTCCAGTGCCGAGGCTCCGATTTGAAAACGAAAACATCCCCAAAAAATTGAATTGTCCTTACGTCACCACGTTTATCCCGGTCTCATGCCCTCAAAAGAGATAATGAATCTCGATGGGCTCTCACTGAGTTGAATGAAGGACATCAATCAATCAAAAACGAGCGGCGCGCGTTA